TTAATGAACATTTTTCAAATATTGAATTAACATCCGAATTTGTATTATTGAAAGGATTTGGAGCAAACACAAAAATAAATACATTGGGATCTTTGACGATGCAAGTCGCCATTAATGACGAACAATTTGAAGTTAAGTTCCATGTTATCCCCAAATTATTTACTTCTTTCAAAGTTATAATTGGAAACAATATATTGAGGCAAGCTACTGTACAGATCGATGAAGAAGGTATTATGATATACAAGAAGTCAGAGCGTCAACTTGAATCACAACTAATTAGGCCAGATTTGCCAACGGCGACTGTAGATCTAATTCTAAAGGCTGTAGAAGCTGTAGAGCCTACAATTGTAGCAGAACCTGTTCAAGGCCAAACTGTTGCCACAGAGGACAATGATGATGACAGTGTGGATAAATTTATTACCGAATTGAAAACGGAGAATGTTGTTACTATTACTACGCTAGTGGCCGCAAATAATTTGGAAAAGGAGTCGGTGTTTTTGAGGCTATCCAATCAGATTGAGGTTCTCGAAAAAAACTTGTCCCTCTCTAGTCGATACCTCGAAGAATTGCACGAATGCTATAAAAAACAAATAGAAGACATGCAACGCGTCCTAAATAAAGCCCTTCAAGACGTGTTAGTTAAACAGGAAGAGCATCACAGACAAATCAAAGAAGATATAAAAGAAGAAATAATAAAGATTTTCGAAGAAGAAAGAATACAGATAAGAGAGAAGAGTAAGGAACACATTAGAAAAGTACGGAGTGAAACCAAAAAAGGATACAAATTAAGAAGAAAAAAGACGAGAAAAAAGAATACAGTAGCGTATAACGGAAAAGACTTCATGACATATCAAACTGTGGATCGAATATGACAGCGACGAATCAGAGTCGGATTCTGAGCAGGATGGCCGAGTGTAGGATTGGTAATTCCATATACCTATGTTCACCTAGTTTACCGTTTACCTAATTTATAGTACCTTTGTTAGTTTTAATCAAGTACCAGTATTGATGGATACCAGTTGTTAAATTGTTATGTCAGAGTGAGTGACGAATAAAAATAAGTCTGTCATGAATGCACTAGAAGAACTGTGTTGTTTCATTCACCCCTAGACAACTACAAAACCCTACAATATGTTTGTTATGTGCCTATTCTAAAACGTTTTTGGCTGAACCAGTTGCCGACTGTATTCTAGCAGCAAAGGAATCGCATGTGTTACACGTGTCTTTCTTTAGACTTTTAAATTTTAAATTAAAATCATTTAAAAATATTCTCCTATAAGTTGAAAAACTTACTGCATCAATATCTTTCAATATATCATTTTTATTTTTTTCATTTCCTTCCCTCCATTCCCTTATCTCATTGTTCCTCTCTTCTCCAATCAAGTTTTCCACATACAAGTCATACATTTTTATAAGGGTCATTTCAGGTGAAAGAAATTCGGCATCAGTGTTATATCATGCCTGTAATGTGGAAGTTTATTGATGTGTTCCTTGACTGTCTCCAATTTTTTATCACTTGTCTTGTTCTTTCCTCCCTGTTTTTGTCCCCTTTTATCTTTTAAATCGTCAGATCGTATTTTCTGTAACGCGGTGTTTATTCTTTTGGTTGATACCTGAAACATATGCCTAAACATTTCACGGCAAATAGGGACTGCTCTGAGAGTGTATATTCTAGAATATTGCCTTTTTGATGGTCTGTTAGAGTATTGTCGAGCTTTCTCTTTCTCCCTCATAGAAGCTGCAAGAAACATATTCTGGGCGTTGTAATCACCTAACGCCCAAAATTTGTTAAATTCTTCCTCTCTTACATCTTGTCCAACTTTATTGTGGCATTCTGCTTTACAGGGGCACTGAAAATCTTGAAAACATTTTTGTTTAACAAGCTTGCCTTTATAATTATAATATTCTTTGTTACTATTTCTTAATTTTTTTGCAGTAACGTTTGTTTGCATTTCAAATTTTCGTTTTCTTCCTCTGGAAGTTCTGGTGGTTTTATTTAGAGTATTATTATCGGACACTACAACAGCCTCAGGATCATTATCTGAACTTGCATCAGATTCGTTCTGATAATCTGGATCTGTTCTATTTTCAAGATTTTCATCTTCAAAATCACTCATATGCCTTTCTCGAAATGTTCTGGTCTTGGTTATTGATGGCGAAACTCGAAACTCTCCTCAACCGGCATATCTTGGATATTATCCAGCACTATTATATTTTCCAACGATTGCAAAGTTGTATCTCTGGTAGTTCTAACTGGAGTATTATTAGCGGTCACTGCAAGAACCTCAGGATCATTATCTGAATTTACATCAGACTCTTTCTGGTTGCTTATGGTTGGACCATAATCTGGATCTGTTTTTTCATATTCAATTTCGTCCTGAAGATAACTCATATGCTCTACTTCAAAATTTTCTGATGTTTGTACTTGGTTGTGAAAGTCGCAGCTCTCCACAATCGGCGTATCTAGAATATTGTCCAATCCCATTATGTTTTCTAAAGATGGGGATTGACACAAAGTTGCTTGCTGAAGCGCTTCAATATCAATCCAAGAAGATGTGTCAGAATTATAAACAAATACTTTGCTTTCATCTAAAACTGATTCTGTTCCACCCGAGGTTCCACATCCTTGTGGAATATTATCTGATTTGATGCGAATCGATTCGTTAGATACTTCAGTTAAATCTGGAGTATATTGATTGCTCCCAAAGTCTTCTGCTACAACATAAATTCCCATTTTAAAAATATGAAAAATCAGTAATTCTATTTTGCTATACTTACCTTGGCTTTCATCTAAGACTTATTCTGTTCCAGGCGAGGTTCTACATCCCTGTGCAATATTATCCGATTTGATGCTAATCGATTTGTTAGATACTTCAGTTAAATCTGGAGTATATTGATTGCTTCCAAAGTCTTCTGTTACAACATAATTTCCCATTTTAAAAATATGAGAAATAAGTAATTCTATTGTGCTATACTTACCTTGGCTTTTATCTAGAACTGATTCTGTTCCACGCGAGCTTCCACATCCTTGTAAAATATTATCCGATTTCATGCGAATCGATTCGTTAGATGCTTCAGTTAAATCTGGCTAGTATATTGATTGCTTCCAAAGTCTTCTGCTACAACATAAATTCCCTTATTAAAAATATGATAAATAAGTAACTCTATTCTGTTTCACTTACCTTGGCCTATCACACTATCAGACACCTCGGTACCTGACTCTGATGAGAAATGACAAATTTAACAATTTATCATCTAAATAAAAGGTTGATTGTAGACATAACTAGATGCACCGTTGGTATATTGAGCTACGCAACATAAGAAAATTCCTACATAATCTAAGCACCCATAATGAAAAAGGTTGATTGAATGGATATTCCTCTGTTGCATAAACGCTCCAACCGTTGTTTCAAAATAAAGAAATATAATTTTGCATGAATCCCAGAACAGATAATAGTTATTTATACACCAAGTGAGTTAAATGAGTATTTATTCATGAGAAGAGAGTTTAACCCACGAGCCCTAGCGAGTGGGTTAATTTTCTTCGAATGAATAAACATTTTAACTCACGTGATGTATACAAAATTTTATCCCATTTTGTGAAAATTTTATAAATAAAGTAGAAGGAAAAACGCCGGGAGTGAGTTAAAAATATTTTAAATCACTGAGGTTTCAGATTTTTAGTTGGGCAGAGTGACTTAAAATGCCGAGAGTGAGTTAAAATGTTTTTAAATCACTGAGGTGATAAACATCTACTTACCTTTATTGTTATGTGTTCAATTTTTCAGCACTACCCACTATAAAATAAAAACTTCACAAAATCTTATTCGCATTCAACAATATTATTCGCCTAGACGCACTTAACTGACAGGTTTTAACAAGTTAATATGTTAAAAAAAGGGAACCAATGTATTGTATTGGTTCCTTATTCTGAAATAAAATTTCTTCTTTTTTGTTAATTAAAGAAACCATTTTCTCCTGGTTCTTTTATGAGAAATAAATATCAATATAAAAGTGAACCAATGTCTAGTGGATCCATTTTGCAAAATAAAGAATAATATATTTTTTGACTACCTTTTTTTGGTTTCTTTCTATGAAATAGAAAAGTGTGATTTTCATTCTAGGATTTTTTTTTGTAGTTTTTATTATAGAAATGGCCATTTGATGCAAAGAATTAATACCTAAACCACATTCAAAATGTATTATTGGTTCAAATTTTATTTTTTTGTGGGTTGGTTCCTTTCTGCTTGATGCCGTCCAATTATTCCATAAAAAAATACCATTACTTTCTCCGTAATTGAATGTATTTTTTCCGAATTTGAATTCACTTTTTCCGAATTTAAATTTACATTTTCCGAATTTGAATATTTACTTTTTCCGAAATTAACTTTACTTTTTCTGAAATTGATTTGACTTTTTCCGAAAATGACTTTACATTTTCCTAAATAAAAGTTACTTTTTCCGAAATTGAGGTTGAAATGGTGTAGTATGTTGGTCTATATGTAATGTAACGACGAACAGGGTCGGGTCTGATTATATTATGTATAATTATCAACAACAAAAATCCAGTTTGGTAATAACATTCTAGGAAAAGCCCGGGTTGTGCTTAAACTGAAATATTGAAAAAATCAATCTTATATAATTTAATATAATAAAGGGTGTAACAAGCTTATAAGATTCGATTTTTTTTTAAATTGTTAGTAGTTTTTCCATGATCGGTCGACAACATTAGATAGGTGTGATTCCATAACTAATGCGGACAATTTTGCTTCCAGCACTTGTTGAAATAATAAATATTTCGATGTCTTTTATAAAACTAACAAAGTTTACCATTAAATGTTTTTGAAAATATTTATTAATTTATTCAACATTTAGGTTTCAAGAACAAGCAGAAAGGGCTTCTCAGAATGTTAGCATCAAACTGCTTTTTATTATCTACATCTTCCTGTGTATATTTTCAATTTTATTTATGATTCAATACTCAATTTGATATTTTTCAGAGGTCAGCAATTCTACCACAGAAACATATTTGCAGTTTTCGTAGCTAAAATATTCGGACTGATAGCAGTACTGGCCATACCGACAATCAGGCACATTTTAGTATTTACCAAAATGTCTGGAAGCGATTATACTGCCTACAAACGTTACGTGGCTACGATTTTTCACATGACAATATGGTACGACTCGGATTTTAAGCCTGGATCAAAGTAAGACATAATTTCATGAGCACCTATGTAAAAACTACATACTACATACCTATTGACAAAATGTATAGAAATTACTTAGTTATTATTCATTAATTCGTAATCAACTTATTCTATAAATAAATAGTTAGCCATACATCTTCCCAACAGGAAAAGTATGTACTTCGGTTTAGTGCCAAATCATCGTTTCTCTCAAATTTTTGTACAGGTATTAATTACTTCCGACTTTTCTTTGTTCCCATATTTTCTGTCTTCCTTCAATTTTTGGACCACTGCGGTAATCTACTCCTTTTCTGGATACTTCTTCATATTCTTCAACTGAATAAAAGGAGTTCCTATTCAGCGATGAAGATGACGAGTTTTGTCTGATGTTAACTTACATCACAATAATGTTCTATCAAATATGTAGTCCAATAAGAAATTGCTCTTGGACTTCCTGGAATAACAAACTCTGCGTAAACTTCGATCAATCCGACAAAATTCTTGTTTACTTTTCTCTTTGGCAGAGAGTTATCCAAAAAGCACCATAATCACCTTTAGTATGTACCAGATTTTGTTGTTTGTTGAATTTATAATGTACTTACTTATTTATGTTCATGAAAATAAATGTAAATTGATAAATCATTGTCTTTAAATTACTTCCAGGTTGTGGAAGTCCATTTCCGAAGTAAAAAAACTCCACAATTCAGCAAGCAAAGGAAGTTGCAAGGCTGGCATAAACCGGATATCCCAAAAAGATATGGCATTAACCCAATTCGGTTTTATGGGTTTCCAACTAGCACGACCCTATCATTTTTCCTTAGACCACGTTTCCAATGAGGAATGGACGGCTTTCATACATTTATGGAAAGTTGTTGGGCATTTGTTGGGAATTGAAGACAGGTGAAGAGTGAATTTTTAAATTCAGATTTTTTTATAATTATGTTTTTTAGGTTTAATATCTGTAGAGATTCTGTTGAAGAAACTAGAGCCATTTGCGAAAAACTACTTCAAAAAGCATTTCTCCCACAAGTAGCCAAAAAAGACCCAGAATTTTTGGAAATGTCCAAATATCTGATTGATGGTCTATGGACTATCCAACCTATGCTTAACTTCGGGGTTTTGATGTGCGTTTTAAAAATCCTACTAACAAATAGCAAGAGGTTTATTAACCACGACCATGAAGAATATATCGAATTAACAATTTGGCAAAAATGCCTTTTATATTTCTTTGGCACAATAATATTTTCTTTGAGATTTGCTCCGTTTAGATGGTACCATAACCATACCAGATATAGGGACTTGTGGTTGATGAAGAATTTTCCATTTTTGGCTTATTATAAATTTGGATATAAGAGAGCTCAAGTGAAAATTTTGAGTAAAACTGAATAAAATATTCATCCAATAAAGATTCAAATTTTCTAGTCAATTTTTTCTATTAACTGTTTATACTTTATTGATAATAAATGTTTATTTATTATTGTATTGTATGTATTTTATTTTGAAATAATACCCAACACCAATTGCTCTATACTCTTATTTAAGTACCATCAAACGTATACTGCATACCCTATAGTATAAGTGTTGCTTATGAAACCATAGAAAACCCAAAGGTTGAGTCAATTGGAACTTCAAGAGCCAATCTGTTAGTTATTTATTTTAGTTTCAAAATGCATTCTTCCTAAAAACGACTTCTCGGTAAAGTTTGAAGACTCCTAAGATTTGCCCAATATTGTTAACAAATTTTATTTAGAAATTATTTTGATTCACATTGATTTGCCCTTCTGAAACTTAAGTCATTCAATGAATTCTGACAGCTTCCTTGATTAAAAATGCTTTTCAGGCGAATACCCAGAATTCCCAGTGTTGCCAGTATTTTTTCTTCTCAATGCTTTTCCTCATTTTCCTCAATAACGCCAATATCAAGAGTTTAGTTTACTAAAATTTTGATATTTTACAAATCTTTCAATTTCCTAGAAAATTTTTGTTCACATTATTAATCTAAATAAAATACACTATTGAACATTTAGATTCCTTTATTTTGTCCTAAATTGTTTTAAATGCATAAATAATCAAATAAATTAAGGGTACAAAATTAAGAAACTAAATTTAAAGCAATACTCAATTTTTGTATCTTGGGTTTTAGATTTTGGAAATCCCATCTTTTTTTCAACAAAAAACATGGAAAATTAAAATAAATTCGAAATATTTTTTAAAAAGGTGCCACAATAAGACTATGGAGTGTGAAACCAAGTTTACTAAATTTTATCTTCCCCCTGTATATAATTTTCTTTTAAGTGGGTAAACTTTTCAATAAGCCCATCAACAGATAATTCACCATGGACTACATTATCTCTGGTCCGCACATTCACGGTGTTACTGGATTTTTCTTTTTCTCCAACAACTAGAAAAAGTTGACATTAATAATATTAAATACTTCACAAACAAATTCTTTTTAACAATAATTATCTACTCACCCAAAATAAAATTGAACTGCGCCAATTGAGCATTCCTAATTTTCTTATTCAAAGTATCTCCATGATCAATATCCACTTCAGCCATAAAACCAGCTTCATAGAGTTTTCGTCTGACTTCTTCTGCGTATTGGTCATAGTTTGGTCCAACTGGAACAACCATAACTTGCCTGGGCGACAGCCAAAATGGCCATTTACCACCGTAGGATTCGGTCAAGATGGCAATCATACGTTCTACAGAACCCAGGATGGCTCTATGGATGATAACTGGCCGTTTTTTATCACCACTTTCACTGAAAAGGAAACAAATTATTTGTATCAATATAAATGTGCTCAATAACTAGTAGTTTTCCAAGCTCAATAAATTAGAACTTTGCACCCCAACTAATTGTCCAAAAAAAATAAATCAAATAAAACTTAATCTTACCTAACAAAGGATAAATTAAATCTAATAGGCAACTGGAAATCCAACTGAATAGTAGCACATTGATGAGACCGATTCAAAGCATCTTTAATAGTGATATCGATTTTGGGCCCATAGAAAGCACCATCACCAGGATTTTCTTTCCAAGCTTGCCCGAACTCGTCTAAAGACTCACTGAGGGCCTTTTCAGCCTCATTCCAAGCTTCAACCTCTCCCAAGAATTTTTCAGGCCTGGTGCTCAACACCAAATCAAAAGTAAAGCCAAACACACCATAGATGTGTTTCAAGAATTCTAGACAACCTTTCATCTCTTGCTTGATTTGTTCTGGGGCACAGAAAATGTGGGCATCATCTTGTTGGAATCTTAAAAAGATTTTAATATTTAAAAATTCAAAAATTAAGCAACTGACATCCTTACCTTCTTACTCTGGTTAATCCAGTCAAAGCCCCAGATAGCTCATTCCTATGCAACACACCAAAATCAGCCATCCTCAAAGGCAACTCCCTCCAAGACCTTATTCTATTATCAAAAATCAAACAATGTCCAGGGCAATTCATGGGCTTCAGGGCAAACTTTTCTTTTTCTACATCAAATGTGAACATATTATCAGCGTAATGAGCCCAATGTCCCGAAGTTTGCCATAGTTTAGCGTTGTAAATGTTGGGAGACACCACCTCTTGGAAACCACGTTTCCTGTACTCTTTTTTAATTAAATCAACCAAAGCGTTGTAGATGTGGGCACCTCTAGGTTGGAAGAAACAGGAACCAGGAGAGAGCTCGTGAAAGAAGAATAGTTCTTGTTCTCTGCCAATTTTTCTGTGATCTCTTTTGGCAGCTTCTTCTTGGAATTTTTCCCATTCTTTTAGTTGTTTGTTGTCGGGAAAACTTATTCCGTATACTCTTTGTAAAGTTTCCGCATCTGCTTTACCTTCCCAATAAGTAGAGGAATTCTAGAAGCAAAAAATTGTGCATGAGGAGCACAGTCCAGTCAATGAAAATACCATTTTATTATAGCAATTACAATTTGTTTTTTAGTTAGGTCTTGCCATTGGCATTCTTGTGTGAGTGAGAATTTATTTGAGAGTTTGATAAGTTTGAGCCAGTCTTGGAATATGGAATCATATTTTGACCTAATTCAATTTTTTCTCCTTTTATGTTCATGTTCAACTTACCTTGGTAACTTTCAAAGCCTTAATTTTTCCAGTATGCCTGACATGAGGTCCTCGACAAAGATCAATAAGTGGACCGCATCTATACACAGTAGTAGTTGGAGTGTCGACTTTTTCATTCAAAATCCTCACTTTGAACGGATTATATTTAAACATTTCTAAAAGATCTTCCTTTTTCATTTCTAGACGCTCAAAAGGCTGTTTTTCTTTAGAAATATTTTTCATCAGATTTTCTACATGGGGGAAATCAGTTTGGGAAATCTAAAAATATTTTTAGTTTAGTTTAAACAACATGAAATAGAAACATTTGGAATTATTTTTACCCCTTTATCATCCAGCCACATGTCATAATAAAAGCCATTTTCAATGGGAGGACCATAGCACAAGCAACCTCCGTAAATTCTTTCTAGAGCTTCTCCTAGCATGTGAGCAGTGGAGTGCCAAAAAACAGCCTGAGCCTCGGGATCATCAAACTTGAGTAATTGGACTTTGCAATCGGACTCTAGTGGTCTGTCCAAGTCCCACAAAACTCCATTGACTTTTGAGATTACTGAGTTGTCAGCAAGACCTTGACTATAATGAAGGAAGAAGTATAGAAGAGAGCAAACATACCAAAGTAAACGATAACAAAAAATATATAAAACAAACAGATAAATAGGCACACATAAGTAAATCACAGCACTTGGGCTCAAACATAATGGTGTGTATCATCCTCTAGTCAATTTTTTGATTGAGGCAACAATTGTGTTGAAAATATCTATATGTTACACTTCTCTAAGATATCGCTACACTCTATCAGGATATGGCTCAGCAGTGAGCAACTTGACCGGTTTATCACAAAAATGTTTGTACTTAGTACCTTAGTCTAAGGTTAATTTTAGGAACATGAAATTTAATTAGATTACTAAATTCACAGTCTGTATATTTAGTATTATTGACTATATATAGAAAATGAAATGTCAGAATTGAACTGCCCTTCTACTAAGATACTGAAGCTTGAAGGTCTCCAACATACTTCCATTTAACACTAGCAGAGGAAATATAGGATAAACATGATATTGTTTGAGATACAAATATGTCAAAAATTTCTTTTGGACTCTTTCTATGAAGTCTCTATTACAGTCAGCTGTAGGTGACCAGATACCACATGCATATTGCATAGTCCAAGTGGGGCATGACAAAGGCATTATAGAGCTGCTTTATCAAGGTATTAATTCTATGAAAATGTTTGGTATTTCTGGTGATGAAGCCCAAGGCCCTAAATGCCCTTTTCTTCTCAAATAAAATTTATCCAACGTAGAATGAGCTTAAGTTTGGCTTTAGCAATAAATTAGAAAAAATAATCATACAGTTCCATTCCAAAACCTATTTTATTTTTGGCTCAAATTTGCATGCAAAATTTGTTGAACTATTATTTAAAATACTGTGTATGAACCTTAACTTCCTATGACCAGTTTAATTATTACCAGTTCTAGTTTTTACCTTTTATATTGTATTGTCATTCTGTCTATCATCATCTTTCAAGTTTATTAAACGTTCTCTAAATTCTCTTCCTGCGTTAACTGATCTTTCATGCAACTCCACAAAGATTCCCTCCCGACAGGTTATGGGGCCCAGGGACTTGTTAAATATTGAATAAGTTTTTTCGAAGTAATTCGATTTTCAACCAGTCAGAATGTCGACCGCTTTACCGCCCCTTGAAAAGTTGCAAGGGAGTGAAAATTTCGATAGTTGGAAATTCGCTGTGAAAACTTATCTGGAGCATGAAGAGCTGTGGGACTGTGTTATAGGAACCGAGACAGACTCAAAGAAAATTACCAAAGCTAAAAGTAAGATTATTGATAGAACCGATTAACTATGTTCATGTTCAAAGTGCCACTGATGCAAAAGGTGTTTGGCAAGCTTTAACAAATGCTTTTGAGGACAAAGGGCTCACCTGAAGAGTCGGGCTGCTACGAACCCTAATAACAACACGTTTGGAAGAAAGTGAATCTGTTAAAGATTATGTCGAGGGGGTAACCACTCAATAAATGGTGTACAAAAACTGTAATTTTTTGTAAATTTTTGTAATTTTTGTAAATGTCAGTAATTTTTAGTAATTTCTAGTAATTTTAGTAATTTTCAGTAATTTCTAGTAATTTTTAGTAATTTTTGGTAATTTTTGGTGATTTTTCAATAGTTTTCCAGTAATTTTTTAAAAATTTTAAAGGGTATTTTACAAAAAAATTTCTTCTATCACAATAAAAATTCCAGAAAAGTTCAAAAATAATGTTTTAAAAATATTTTGTCACTTTTCAAATTGACAGTAATTTATTTTACTAATGAAATAAAGTGCAGTTTAATGTATGTACTAGTAGGTACCTTCTATGTAAAAACTACTTATAAAATCAAGTTAGAAATGATGTTAAGGGGTTTTAGTAATTTTGGTAAATGTGTGTAATTTCAGTAATTTTAGTAAATGTGTGTAATTTTTTTGTAATTTCAGTAATTTTAGTAAATGTGTGAAATTTGTTGGTAATTTCAGTAATTTTAGAAGTAATTCTGGTAAATGAGTGTAATTTTCGGTAATTTTGTAAATATCATTAAATATTTTGTAATTTTTTGTAAATATTAGTTTGGTGTACATGATTGTTCGGAGTGGTTACTCCCTCGGATTATGTTAACAAGATTATTAGCACAGCACACAAACTTTCTAGTGTTGGCCTCACTGTAAGTGATGAATGGGTCGGAACAATCCTTTTAGCTGGATTACCAACTAAATATGAACCTATGATAATGGGTATCGAAAGTTCTGGAGTACCAGTAACCGGAGACGCCATAAAAACTAAATTACTCCAGGATGTGAAGTCAACAAATGGTGAAATTGCTATGTATACCAACAGATTTTCACATAAATACAGGAACACCAGAAATCCTAGTGCAAGAAATGCTTCAGGCAATAAAAAAAATACAATTCGTTGTTTCCAATGCAATAAATATGGACATTTTGCCAAAGATTGTGACAATCCGAAAAGAGACAAGGATAAAAACCATGACAAAAATAAGGTTGCATTATATTCAGCATTATCAGCTGCACCCAGTTGTAATCTAAGTAGAAATAGTTGGTATTTGGATTCCGCTGCTACTATTCATATGACAAATAATTTGGACTTGCTTGAAAATGTAGAAAATACCACCGATTGTTCTATAACTACTGCAAATGATCAAAAAATGTGTGTAAACAAGGTTGGCAGTGTCATCTTACCTGTGTCAGATTCTCATAATGCAGAAATAAAGAATACTGTATATGTGCCAGATTTGAAAGTCAACTTGTCAGTAAGTCAAATGGTAAAAAAAAATTACTCTGGAGTCTTTGAAGCCACTGGTTGCAAAATTTATAATCCTCAGAAACAAGTTATTGCTACAGGAATACTTGATAAAGATTTATTTATACTAGAATTATTGAAAAATGAACATGTAGCATGCCATGCAGATTCAATGTTATGGCACCGAAGGCTAGGACACATCAATTTTAATAGTTTGAGTGCCGGTACTTTTGCTCTCATTCGACAGCCGTTAAAAATAATCAGGGGTTTGAATGTGCTCTAACCACATCATACTCATAGACCTTGGCCCATGCAAAACTTTGACGACGCATCAAATTCGTTAATCGAGAGCAAAATTATCCGCCCTAAATGAACTGAGAAATGGTATGGCATCCGGAATAGATTTCACAGACCCTTCACTGGAATGCAAATGTGAAATATGTGTCAAGGGAAAATGCCACAGGCTACCATTTAGAGATAGTGAATCGCACACTAAAGAAGTTCTGGAATTAGTGCATTCGGACCTTTGTGGGCCTATTGAGGTCACCAGTTTAGCAGGTTTGAGGTATATGCTTTCTTTTTTGGACGATTACACGCATAAAATATTTGTATATTTCGAGGTATATTTTATTAAAACGAAAGACGAAGTTTTTGATTACTTTCAGATTTTTAAAAAATTAGTTGAGAATCAAACCGGTAAAACAATCAAGACTATTCGTACAGACAATGGGGGTGAATATATCAGTGCCGCGTTCCAGAATTTTTTGAAAGACTCTGGTATAGTACATCAGCTCACTGTACCAAGAACAGCTGAGCAGAACGTTTGAATCGAAAAATTTTTGAAAAAACGAGGTGAATGCTGATTGATTCCGAATTACCTAACAAGTTTTGGGCAGAAGCTGCTTCTACAGCGGTTTATTTACTAAATCGATCACCTACCAGATGCCAGATGCCTCAAAGGAAAAACCCCAGAAGAAGCCTGAATTGGCATTAAACCAAAGTTAGAGGCACTACCTATATACCTATGTACTATATGTAATATAAGAACATTGTATATGGTATCGGTAGCTGCATTTATCCATCAAAATAAATCTCTCCAAAACATAATAAGCCATCAATACGAAATTCGGGGGAAAATAAATGCAGACATTGTAATTCCGTTAAATTTTAATAACATTAATCTAAGAAGTGTAGCATACCTCGGTCCTAAAATCTACAATATGTTATCAAGGAGTTTGAAGGTGACAAATAATATTTATAGGTTTAAGATTAACTGCAAGAAATTTTTATATAAAGAATGTAAGAAATTTGAATATCTTTTCAAGTAGTTATTCTAATATTAAGGAAATACTTATTACTTATTAAAAAAAGTATTATTACTTATTAAAAAAAAAAAAAAAAAAGAAATGGAATCTGGTACATACAAATAACTCTGTTATTCAGGTACCAATAAGTACTTTTGCTTTGATAGGTTAATTAAATTTAGTTTCCCTCTGTAAATTGTAGTGATGCTAATTGATAAATTTTGTAGGGTTAATGACAGTACAGAAAGTAAGGCGTATAGATTATATCGGGTCTTCAAAAAAAAAAAACAATCAAAGATTGCTTTGGTTACGAAAACGTACGTCGCATTATTGTTTCTTTATTGGTCAGGATTTTTGACATGACATTTTGACATTAAATTTCATTGACTGACATTGTCAAAATTAAAGAAAAATATTGCTAAGACATACGTTTAAAAAACCATAGCAATCTTTGATTGGTTTTTTTTTTGAAGACCCGATACAATCCTTTCAGTAATAAGGTATTTGTAGCTAGAGATGTTATATTTTTTGAGAAAGAAAAGGGTGCATTATTGCTAGAGAAGTCTAGAAATAAACAAGAAAAACATTTTTTTATTTTTCCAGAGGAGTCTTCAGTACCTGACTTAAATCAAGCTCAAGAGGTCAATAACATTGATGAAGGAAATTTAATTTTTGAACACGAAGAGTTATCTTCTACATCACAGTCTGATGATGAAGAACAACATGAAAGTGACCCAACAAAATACACAGAAAATTATCCAGATGTAGGTCTAAACCCAGATTTTGAACCGCGTCAAAACTTAGAGTTTTCAGCACAAGGATTGAGAAGAACTGAAAGAGTCAGAAAATTACCTAAAACTCTCGACGATTATGAAGTTAGTTTTGCTACAATGATTGATTTCCCTGATCCTGAGACCGTTGAAGAAGCTCTAAGTAGACCTGATTGTGATAGATGGCGTGAAGC